GAGGGAGCCTGCACGCCGCTGCTGTAGGAGAACTGCACATTCGGGCCGTTTTTTTTACTTTCTGTTTTTGCAGGTACATACAGTTTTGTACCTCTAGTTATTATGTATGACAACATAGGTGTTTGTACTCTGCAGCCGCAGTAATTGTAGGAAAAAGCTGAGCTGTGGATTTGCGATTACAAAATTACCTTTGATTTTGCCAAGACTTGCTTATCTATTGCACTTTGTCTGCTGAGAGTAGTTCTTGTGGACTAAGTCTTTTGGACCTGGAGGGAAGAGATTTTCTTCAAAAAATCCTCCACCTTTATACTGCAGAATACCAACAACATAAATTTATGGAAAGGTTAAAATGACTTCAGACACTTACAAGGTCAAGTCCCTAATAAGTCACTGTACGCATTGTGTGCACACCAGCCATGGGCTGAAATAGCTTTGAAGAGGCTCTTCTGGTTTGAGTTGATATTTGGAGTGGATATTTTGAGTGCGTGTGCAAAAGCCTCTTTGGTTGCATGAAAATTGTTAGAATGCGGAATTGCTTGGACGTCATTGTTATATTTAAGGTTATCCATATTTTGGGCCCAATTCCAAAGTTAACAGGAATTTTGAATGAACAACTGTCGGGCCAGAAAGGGGCTTTTTGTACAAACTTATGTGTGCTTAGAAACAATACTGTGATTTAAGCATTACTTTGGATATTTTGTTATTTATATCACAATTTAAACTGTATTTAAATACTTTTTTTTTCTTTTGTGTTTAGCATTATTGCACTATGCACATGGTTAAACCAGGCGGGGTTGATTATCATTAAAGTGTTATTTATTTCTGTTTTATTAAGCCCCTTTTTACATTCATGTTACAGGTTAATTTATACTTTTATTTCATGCACTACTTGGCTTTACTGATTAATATGCCCCATGGCATTCAATAAAGCCAGGCAGTGGAGGAAATAAGAGTGGTATTAATTTCTAACATTGCTATAAATTTGCCTTAATAAAACTACCTCAATAACATTGCAGTAGTAATACAATGGATGCTTCCGAATTGTTAGCAAAGGCAGAACTGAAAGAACAACACATTTTTTCCTGAATTTAACAGTGTTGTGCTGCTTTTTTACTGGTGTTCAAATTAGACTATGCGTTAAAATATTCACAGCTCTTATCTTGTGCTCTAGAAGCAGTAGTATGTAATTTTAAAAAAAGAATTATTATTTTATTTAGTCAATCAGTTCTACAGATGTGGATAAATCCTTTGGGTTATGCGAGTCTGCACTGCAGATTTTCATGACCACTGCTACTTTAGCAGACCATTTAAAACTGGGTTTTAAAATATCAAAGAGGAAGGAGGAAATTCTAGAGTGTGAGGACAAACAACAAACAAAATAAAAAAAAATAGAACAATAGATTTTTTTACAGTAAAATAACTACTACTGATTTACATTTTCCAATATTTTGCATTGATTTACATGTGTTAGAGGAGAGCAAAATTCTCAAGAAGGAAACACAGGTTTTCTGAATGCTAGTTCTAGGCCTTAAAATGATCCACTGCATAGAAATATTTTTTTTGTTTTGCTGTATTTAATTTGTGTAGCTATAATCTTTTTTTCAGGCCGACTGTGCAATTTTTGTGGTGTGAAATTCCTAATAATCTTCTCTATGTACAAGCTAGGCGTGACAAACACTTTCCTCACACCCACATTCCCTTCCTGCACCAACTCTTCTTAACCAGAAATTCTGCTTAAGAAGAGAGTTTTAGGTGCAGTTTTCGCCTGGCCTCAGTGCAAAGCGAAGGCACGACAAGGAAAGTTGACGTGCAAACAGGCTGCGCCCACGCGCACCCGCGCACCGCAGCACCCTCAGCACGCGCTCCGGAGCCCTTTATTAGCCCTCAAGCTCCTGCAGGCAGCGGGATGTGGAGCCTTCTCTGCACTTTGCTGGGTCAAACCTTAATAAATCATTCGACACATTTTGCAGGGATCACCTGTGGGGTGAAAGGCAGCAAATGTTTAAAAGGATTAATATAAACATTGTATATCAAATGGAACTTATTTTTGTATTCAAGCAGCTATGAAAATAATACTGTCATTTTGATAAGTGTATTTTCTAGTTAAAATCAGGTGCTCAGCAGTCTATGTTCTGTCATTTGGTTTTGCTAAATGCACTTATATGCTCTTGCATAGTGCACAGGCAGGAGTATCTACCTGTGTAGATCCAAATTCAGAGTTTAGGCTTTATGTAATAATATTTGCTTAATAAATTTTTCTGAATAATGACTAAAAATGTAAAAGTAAATTTAATTGCCTTATGGTTGTTTGTATATTGAGTAACGTGAGTTATTTGTATAACTCACGCATATCTGGACATAATATTCAATTTGTTATACAGTGTTGGTATGGTTTAATTAAGTCAAATATCTCCATGCAACCTTTTAATCATAGCTGCTAAGTTAGAGACGGAGACGCTCCTGCCTGGTCCCCCTCTGTGCCGTTTGCGGCGGGCGATTCCGCACGTGCTGCAGCTGGGGTTTGTCCGGGCTATTTGCTCTTCTCCCTGCGTTCCATTTTTATTTCTCAGAATAACATTCAGTTTCTAATCCAAAGCTAAGCATCTTTCTGGATCAAGCTTTAAATAAGATATTAGCCAGCAGTAGGAATAATGACATTCACAGTTACATTAGGTTCAATATTTTAAATGGGGATATAATTCTTCTTAGTTCAGGGGGATTTGTCGAGGACTGTGCGAACCTCGATAGCTTATCCGGGACTGTGTTTCCTGAGGAGCTCCTCTGTGTGCCCCGGCACTGATGGAGAATTAGCTTGGATATAGAGACCATCGATGAGATTGTTTGGCAATTATTTAGTTTAGTGGAAGTGCTGAAAATCTGTGCTATCTTTTAGTATCACTGCCATACGCAGGTGTACACGGATACTTCCCACCTCTCCTTGGTGGCAAGACAATTTGTGTCTCTCAGTAGCGCCCTGGCTCAGGCAGTCATCTGCATTTGCTTTGCATGTAAAGGCTAGTTGGAGCGTTTTATTTCCAGCTATGCATGTAAGTAGCTGATAGGATTATAAAGGAAAATTCAGAGTAGTAATTTTTACAGTGTTTAACCCCCAGTGCAAAACTATATATCTGTTTTCTTCTTGAATTGTCACAACTGAGCAGAATAAGCTGCAGTGCTTGCAAAACAGAAAAAAAAATGTGTGCTGGGCTGTGAAGCAGAACGCTCGCAATTAAATCTGCAGAGATCTCTCCAGTTAACAGCACGAGGGCCGGGGTGAACGTGCAGAAATTTCCTTTCAAAAGGAAACAGATACTCTTTTTCTATCCTGTCCACCAAGTAATACTCCCCTTTGAAAGTTTTTTTACAGAATTAAAAGGCATTGCCGCTATTTATTGGTTGGCATTAAGCAGTATTTATTTGCCTCTTTCTTTGCAGTGCAGTCCTGGAAGAGGAACTGTGGTCCAAGTATTGCTAAGTTTTATGTTTTCAACCAAGGAGTTTTACTCCTTTAACTGCTGTTTCTAAAATAATAGATCACTTTTAAGATGGCATTTTCTGGGAACTACGACACAAAATTCAAAGCCAGTGTAGCCAAATCCCTGCCTATACGTGCAAGAAGAGCATACAGGGAGCACAATAAGCAGCCAGACATGATTGTAATTAGGACCATTAAAACATTTTCTGGATTTGTGAGGCAAAATGAGATAATAATATATAATTATAAATACATGTGATATGTCTGAAGTGTTTGAAAGACGGCAGTACAACAATGGCTGTATTCCTTAGAAATGGCTAATGTTCCTTAGAAATGCAAACGGTATCTTCATCTGGGCCTTCAGCAAGCAGCGAATGTCACGCTGGCAGGGCGCCGCGGCGGGCAGGAGATGCAGGTGGGCCCGGGCTGGGGTGCGAGGACGGTGCTTTGCACAGAGCTGTGCTTCCTTTCTGTGTTTGCTTAAAGTCCTCTGGGAAAGGCAGGAATGGAGAAACATGTATAAGCTGCACATGGTTGAAGGTTAACCTCAGTTGATGGCTTCAGTAGGGCTGGTATTTTAAACGCAGTCCTTAACACGCTGGATAGAGGAATGAATATAGGAACACGTGCCTTTCTGTCTGCAGTTTATGGAGACTCATTCCTCGTGCTTGGGATGGAGATGCCGATAAGGAAAAATGAGCTTCACTTTGAGGCCTGTCGCGTCACTGTTACATGAGGACAGTGGTGATGATGTGATGATGATGATGATGATATGAGGATGAGGAAAGAGCAGACTAAAGGACTTCATTGCTAGGGAAAATCATCAGACACATTCTGGACACTTCCCACAAGCCGGTTATCTCACACACATAAACTTCAAGACCCGAGCAAGATACCCATCTCTCCCTCTCCTCCTCGGAGCAGCTCTTGGCAAAAGGCCCTGCTCTATGGTCGCATAAGTGGAAGTTTGTTTGGAGGTTCCTCGGAAAGCAATGGTGTGGTTTGCTGCACTTCAGCCCAGGTGGAGTCCCTCTCGAACGGCACCGTGTGGGCATGCGGTACTGATGGCACAAGTGTAGCCTTGTTAATCACAAATCAGTGTGTCTCTTTTTACTGGGTCTTCCTGACCTTGAGGCTGGGTAACCATG